TGATAGATGTCGGAACACTTGTAACGTATCGGTTTGATAGATGTCGGAACACTTGTAACGTATCGGTTTGATAGATGTCGGAACACTTGTAACGTATCGGTTTGATAGATGTCGGAACACTTGTAACGTATCGGTTTGATAGATGTCGGAACAATTGTAACGTATCGGTTTGATAGATGTTGGAACATTTGGTTGACAGAAGGTGGGACTTGTGGTGTGTCTGGTTGACACACGGTGGGACTTGTGGTGTGTGTCTGGTTGACAGAAGGTGGGACTTGTGGTGTGTCTGGTTGACAGAAGGTGGGACTTGTGGTGAGCCTTCAGTATATGTATGAAATCCATGTAAGATCAAATATTTTAATACAAATGTGGACTGAAGATCTTATCTCCTTTTATATACATATATACTTTTAGACGTATATTTTTATAGGACATAAATGTAATATTTATGATATCTACTCAGTTTGTGATGAAGCTTAAAACTAGATTATTTTGTTAACATATTCTAGATCTGCCCTAAACTGTTTAGTTACATTTGTGTATTTGCATATAGATAATATAATATTAAAAATTTCCAAAGTATTCAGCTTGCCAAGTGACCATTGTAGTAACCAAGACATACTGAGATAAGGAATAAAGTTGTACTATATCCTGTATAAGTGTACTAAACAAAATGGTTAACAGCCTAATTTAACACTTAAAACCTGCGGTTTAAAACTAATTAGAAAATATAAAAGAAATATTATTATTCTGTTGCCATCTGAACTGAAAATTGGGTCTTCGTTATCATTAGTTTTGATATGTGCTCTTAAAAGTTTTCTGTTAAACTTTTCAAGAGAACCAACTAGGGTACTAGAACTTGGATAATTGGAGAGCTGTTGATATCAGAAAGTATAAAACATCACTTTAGAAATGAAAATTCTTATTGTTGTCACTGTTTAATATTGTACCATTCCAATTCCAGAATTCCACGTATTCTCATTAGAAAGTGGACTTCTTGTATAATGTTTATAAGTAATTATTTTTGGTGGAGGAATTAGTTTATGTGCCTTGTCTAAGTGTGATTACAAACTGTGTTTTTCAGGGTTTATGATTGTCCTAAGAACCATCCACATCTGTGGTATGAGCCCAGTTGGGGAATTTACATGTGTGTGATCTGTGATTATTAGTAATACATACATCATGGATCAATGCATAAAACTCCAACTTCGGTTCTTCCAAATATACTGTATGTCATTTTGAGGTTTGTTTTTCAAATTTATAGATATATAATAAAATCAATTTTTGCAGAGGAGTGTTCCTTATTCAGATACACAACAAAACTACACATAGAAAATATTAAACTAATAAGTAAAATAAATGTTCGTGTTTATAAGTTTGTAGAAATAACACATTAATATGCCAAATTCTTTGGAAGATCTAAACCTTTGAAGTTTCATCGTTAACCCTTTCGAATGCTGTTCTAACCTGTTGTGGACTTCTAGCTAAGTTTGAAAATTGTATTTCACCAACCGAATTGTTCAAGAAACAAGCTTGCCTCGTGATATTCGTTGTTCTGAATATTACAGTTTTTACAGAAAGACCACTATTTTCTCCATAAACTAATTTTTCTTGGGATATATTGAAAATCAAAAATACTTTGTAAGAGCTCGGAATAGAGAAGTAGAACAAGATATGAACACTTGTAACTTCAACTCTTACATGTTTTAAGGAATTATATTGGACTTTTTTTTTAACATAATTTGTGAGGTTAGCAATTTCTTTTGTATGATATTTTCAGATTGGTTTCTCTAAAAGTGACAGGGTAGATCCATTGAATAACAGGAGATTCATCAAGATATCTACTTCAAAATAATTCTGTATCCTCTGAATAATTGTGTTTGTGAGAAGTAGAGAGACTGAACACAAATTTACAATCATTATTTAAATGAAAATGTACTTTAGTTGCTACAACAGACAGTCTCCTTTATTGCTCTAACTTATTCAGAGGATATTGTAAGCAAAACTAACTCAGTTTATATCCTATCCCAGTTTGTATCTGTCAAGATCATGTTTCAGACTGAATAAATCTTACGATGTTTAACTTGCTGATGTCAGGCTTACACAGTGTACTACCACATGATTGGTCGTTCCCAATGAAATACAAGGAAGATCATTACCTTGCGATCAACCGACTATCGGTGGAAAAGGAAACTATAACTTCACATACTACGGGTAACCCTACCGTCTTTCACATTGGAAGACAAAACGTGCTACTCTAGGTGAACGACACAGAACAATAAGTAATTATAGCAACAGTAATGTACAGACTTTCTTGACCAACATCTATCTGCACACATTTTTTATAAATTTTTGTATCGGTAGAAGGAGATAAAAAATACGTGGTATGCTTTATGTACCACACTGTTATATTCTAACTAATTTCCCTTAATTTATCAGCATTGTCAAAAGTTCGGAATTGTTTTTTTAATTATTTTTCTTTTATTTGAGAATTTTAAACTTAAATGCAACAAAAAAAAAAACTTTTAGACTTGTATCTAGTTTCAAAGGTATCTGTCCTTCGGTTGGACAGTGGTAAATCTTTGGATTTACAATGCTAAAAGCAGGGGTTCGATTCCCCTCGGTGGACACAGCAAATAGCCCGATGTGGCTTTGCTATAAGAAAATACACACACAATGGTAACTAAAAACAAAGGTAAAAAATATCACTTAGTGAGCTTATAGTAAGAAACTGTGCATTGATGTTTGAGAAATATCTTCAGTAATTGATGGTTATTCCAACTATTGGTCGCATGTAATCCTGAAAAGTATAGTTCGTGTAATTTGGATTCAGTGATTGATGGTTACTCCAACTGTTGGTCGCATGTAATCCTGAAAAGTATAGTGCATGTAATCTGGATTCAACAAGTAATAGTTATTTCAACTTTTTTTTTTTTTTTGTCAACTGTAACCCTAAACATTAAAGTATATGAGACTGAATATATCGGGATGTAATTACTTCCGGATATTCCAGCCCATGACCACATCAATGTTATGGTGATGTATGGATATATATCTTCCACATAGCTGATAAAATAGCAGTAAAAGTATATAATCAGAAATAAGAGTAAGATTGTCGAAATAAAATTTAAAAAATATTTTAAATTTTTACTGGCGAACTAAATAAGTAAAGACAGAAACACTTGTACTAACATGGTTGGGGATGTGTGTGTGTGTATATATATGTATATAATAAAACTTGAATTATTTATCCTTTTTTCGAATTAAACATTTTGGAAAGAAGGTAAATTTTAAAATTTATATATAGATAGAAACAAAATATACAAGTTATATTTTTCAACTTAAAGTTTTTGTTATTGTTTTTTTTTCAAATAATAACAATAAACAAAAACAGGTTATAAAATAAATTATTACCAACAATTTAAAAGTGAAACGAATGTTTAATGAAAAATTGACATTATTTGTTAGAGATAAAATTATTACAATTGATAACAGAAATTTTATATGTTACGGATACTTTTTAAAATGGATGACTTTATCTTGAATAATCTTAATGTTTCTTTAAAGTTATCCTCAGGGTACTTAAGGTACATCTAAAATACGCGCCAACACCTTTTGAGTCCTATTTATTAAATATTTCGCTTCCTAACTACTTTCAATTAGAATTTTAAAGGGTGTCAAAACGTTCAATAAAATTCAACACTTGTCGCTAATTTCGTGGAATTCCCAGAAACTGGTAATAACTCAATGACAGGTGATCAATCAAACGATAGATTGGACTTTATATTTATTTTAGTATTTTAAGCAGTTTGTCTGCTGAATTATTTGGATAAAAATAGTACCAGCAATGCTATGTACTTTTCATATCGTTTATAAACATAGTTTGTTCACTCTGGTGAATAGAAGACAACTCAAAACACCATACATATAATGTTTTTATATTAGTTTGAAGTATTTTAAATATTGAATTAACTTATTTGCTTATTGTTTTGCTAATATCCTTGAGAAACTGCAATAAAAAAAAAGTACCCGCTGAGGTAAAAGCTAGAATGATTACTAAGGAATTAATTAATTTTAGTTTAATTTTGTGCAGTAGAGGGCGACTCATTCTAGTTGGAAACCGGTTCATGAATGTTATAGAATAGGCTAAACTATAAACATAAATAATAATAGAAGTTGAATGAAACTTCTTTTCGCATGTACGCCAACTTATTAAGTTTTATTTTATTGAACTTTTAGGTTATATACTATAGTTCAGAATGTCTGTTTTAGGAATCGATTTTGGAAATGAGAACTGTTACATAGCAGTTGCTCGAGCCGGAGGAATTGAAACTATAGTTAATGAATATAGTCAACGAATCACACCGTAAGTAATTTTAGAAATGATTTATAGTTTATATCACACCATCAGGCATTTCTTAGTCATTACGTATAGGCCTAACAAGTAACGATACTGTTGCTAGCCTAGCGAATTTGTCGCTAGATCTACCGAACCTATTTTAATATAGCGACCAAAATAAGAATCTTAGCGCCTAGCCTACTTATCTAGTGAATCCATTGAAAAACCTAGCTAATTATAACGACTTGCTATGATTTTTGTTTAAAATAAAAGTTTGTAAGTATAATTACTGTTATAAAATTTTTTTTTGATTTACTGCTACGACTGGAAAATGGTGTCTGATGCAGGGTAATTAAGATTATCTACCACTGTCTCCATGACTGAGTGCCACTACCAGTACTGCATATCTTGCATTAAAAAATCCCTGCAAAAATAAGGTTTTTCATTTTATGACTCTGACTTATTATCAGCTCCTATAATTTAAAGTGAACGAAATAATACAGACAATAGACTTTAATCTCAATTTCTTATTAAATTCATGAATAATAATTATGCTAGGTATAAGTTATAGTATTATTAAAAAGTTTAACTATATAAACTAGATGCATATATAATATTTATAAATGTGATGTAGAAGAAATATGATGTAAGTTGTAGTGAATTTAATGAATTCGTGACTGTCATGATTCTTCATATCAACTTCTCAGAAATATTTTAGTCATTGTTGCCACAGAAGGGTTTATCCGTACTATTTCGGTACATTGTAAGGATTTCTAGCTATTGATTTGCCATCTAAATTTGTGATACATTTTCAAACATTTACGTTTATATGTTTTAATTGCCTATAATCATATACTACATAAAGGAAGGATTGCTAATAAACATACAAAACTCTATGCAAGGTCTGACTGATGACTTTGAGTTTCAATTAAACTGTTGATATTTCTAGGCCATGTGTGCCGGAGCAGATCAGGCAGCAGCTGGACCAACATTTTATCACAATAACTGTAGGGCTTTTTAAAGTTTGAAACCTTGTACAGTGTCACTATTTTTGCTCTTTTGAAAATCCTATGTTATAAAATTTCTCCAAAACTGGTTAGAAATTATTTTGGTTATAACTCAGTTATAATATATTTCAAGGCCATTTGTAATGTTGACTTTTAAATAATATGTATTCATATGCTGTGTAATTGTAATTACAGTATTGTATTTTTGTATGTGAAAAATTATTATTTTCTAGATCGTATGTGGCCTTTAAAGAAAACAGTCGTGACCTTGGTGTTTCAGCTAAAAACAAACACGTAACAAACGTGAAAAACACCTTGTTTGGTTTTAAAAGACTTCTTGGCAGAAAGCTAAGAGACCCAGCTGTTCAAAGAGAAAGAACATATTTAACATATGACATGCATGAGCTATCTAATGGTGACATTAGTGTGAAGGTAAGTATTTCATAAAATCATTTTATTTAAATAGTTGATTATCAACTAATAGTTGCTATAACCTATGTGTTTCTCAACTTGATACCTCAGGAAAAGGATTAACAAGGAAAGCTACGTTAGTGTGTTTAACATTTGTTGACATGTAATACCAGTCACTCTAAAGGATTAACAAGGAAAGCTACATTAGTGTGTATAACATTTGTTTATATGTAATACCAGTGACTAAAGGATTAACAAGGAAAGCTATATTAGTATGTTTAACATCTGTTGACATGTAATACCAGTGACTAAAGGATTAACAAGGAAAGCTACGTTAGTGTGTATAACATTTGTTGACATGTAATACCAGTGACTAAAGGATTAACAAGGAAAGCTACATTAGTGTGTTTAACATTTGTTGACATGTAATACCAGTGACTAAAGGATTAACAAGGAAAGCTACATTAGTGTGTATAACATCTGTTGACATGTAATACCAGTGACTAAAGGATTAACAAGGAAAGCTACATTAGTGTGTATAACATTTGTTTATATGTAATACCAGTGATTAAAGGATTAACAAGGAAAGATACATTAGTGTGTTTAACATTTGTTGACATGTAATACCAGTGACTAAAGGATTAACAAGGAAAGCTACATTAGTGTGTATAACATTTGTTGACACATAATACCAGTGACTAAAGGATTAACAAGGAAAGCTACATTAGTGTGTATAACATTTGTTT